CTTCTTGGAACCATCTTAGGAGCCATCGTGAGCGATCTTGCGCTATCTTGAGCCATCTTGGAGCTCATCTTGGGTTCTCTGAGGCGCTCTTGGAGCCGTCTTGGGCCATCTTGGACGCTCTAACTACCCGCGGCCCCCCCCGTCCAGGTCCAGGGGAGGGGGTAGGGGGAGGGGTAAACCCCTCCCCAAGGGGGAAGAGGGAGGGGTGGAAGAGGATCTGTTCTAGACCACCTACGCCCAGAGGGCTGGTGGGACTTAGTAGTAGTCGCAGTAGAAGTGGTAGTCGTAGTCGTAGACGTAGTGGTAGTGGCAGTCGTAGTAGTAGTAGTCGTAGCAGTAGTAGCAGTAGTAGTAGTAGTAGTAGTAGTAGTAGTAGTAGTAGCAGCAATCGGAGTAGTAGCAGTGGTAGTTTTAGTGGCAGTAGTAGTAGTAGGAGTCGTAGTAGTAGTAGTAGTAGTAGTAGTCGTAGTAGTAGTAGTAGTAGTAGTAGTAGTAGGAGTAGTAGTAGTAGAAGCAGTAGTAGTGGCAGTAAACGTACTACTTGAAGTAGACTAGCAGTAGTAGCAGTAGTGGGTGCCATAGTCGTAGTAATGGTAGTGGTATTTGTATTAGCCGTAGTAGTAGCAGCAGGATCAATTGGAGCAGTAGTAGTAGTATCAGTAGTAGTAGTAGTTGCAGCATTAGTAGTAGTAGCAGTAGTAGTAGTAGTAGTAGTAGTAGTAGTAGTAGTGGTAGTAGTAGTAGTAGTAGTAGTAGGAGTAGTAGGAGTAGTAGGAGTAGTAGGAGTAGTAGGAGTAGTAGTAGAAATAGTAGTAGTAGTAGTCGTAGTAGTAGTAATAGTAGTAGGAGTAGTAGGAGTAGTGGTAGCAACAGATGGCAGCAGCAACTAGTTTGTTTGATACTAGGCAATAGCAGTCGCACCAGCAGTAGTAGTAATTGTCGTGGTGTTAGTCGCAGTAGTAGTAGAAGTAGTAGTAGTAGTAGTCGTAGTAGCAGCAGTGCTAGTTGTAGTCGGAGTAGTTGTAGCGCAAGGCTAGTTGTAGTCGGGGTAGTAGTGCTACCTGTAGTCGGAGTAGGAGCAGTCTGCCCGTAATGCTGATAGTAGCAGGAGTAGTCGTAGTCGTAGTCGCTGTCATGTTTGTAGTGGTAGTAACGGTTGGCTTAGCAGTAGTACTATTAGTAGTAGTTTCAGTCGTCGTCGTCGTCGGATGGTCTTAGTAGCCGTTGCAGGAGTACTGGGGTAGACGTGGTAGTAGCCGTCGCCGCACCCGTAGTAGTAGTAGTAGTAGTAGTAGCAGTAGTAGTAGTAGTAGTAGCAGTAGTAGTAGTAGTAGTAGTAGTAGTAGTAGTAGTAGTCGTAGCAGTAGTAGTAGTAGTAGTAGTAGCAGTAGTAGTAGTAGTGGTAGTAGTAGTAGTAGTAGTAGTAGTAGGCATAGTAGTAGTAGTAGTAGTAGTAGTAGTAGTAGTAGTAGTAGTAGTAGTAGTGGTAGTAGTAGTGGCAGTAGTAGTAGGGGTAGCAGCAGTAGTGTTAGCAGTTCGAGTCGTAGTAGTGGTAGTAAATGAAGAAGAAGAAAAAGTAGCAGTAGGTGTAGTAGTAGTAGTAGTAGTAGTAGTAGTAGTAGTCGTAGACGTAGTAGCATTAGTGAAGGTAGTCGTGGGCGTAGCCGTAGTACTCGTATGCGTTGCAGTAGTAGTAGTAGTTGTAGTAGCGGCAGTAGTAGTAGCTGTCGCAGTAGTAGTCGTAATAGCTGTGGTAGGAGTAGTAGTATAGTAGGAGTCGTAGTATTAGCAGTAGTAGTAGCAGTAGTAGCAGTAGCAGCGATAGTAGTAGTACTACAACTACTATTGCTTGTAGGAGTAGTAGTGGCAGTAGTACTAGCAGTAGTAGTAGTTTTAGTAGAAGTAGGCGTAGTAGCCGTCGTAGCCGTAGTGGCCGTAATAGTAGTAGTCGTAGTAGGATTAGTTGTAAACGTCGCCGTAAAAGTAGTAATAATATTAGTCTTAGTAGTAGCCGTAGCAGCAGCAGTAGTAGTAGTAGTAGTAGTAGTAGTAGTAGTAGTAGCAGTAGTCGTAGTAGTAGTAGTAGTAATAATATGTACCGTCGGCGCAATACTAGCCGTAACTTGTAGTGCTAGTAGTAGTGGTAGGACGGAAGGAGAAGGGGGGGTGGCGCGATGGGGGGGGGCCAGGACAAGTTTTCAAAGTAACTCCAGTTCGGGGCCGCTGGTTTTTTCCACATGTGCAACCTAATCCGTTTTAGTCGTTTTCAGTTGCACATTTGTTTGTAGAAAAGGAAGCACAACAAGCAAAGGATAAAACAACTCGGTGCAGTTGCCAGGGCTCAGTAGTAATAGTACTAGTTAGAGTAGTCGTCGCCGTCGTCGCTTTAGTAGTAGTAGTAGTAGTAGTAGTAGTAGTAGTAGTAGTAGTAGTAGTCGTAGTCGTAGTAGTCGTAGTAGTCGTAGTAGTCGTAGTAGTCGTAGTAGTCGTAGAAGCAGTA